CAGTGTCATTGTTTTGTAGGTGAGTGACATGAGTTGGTGAGAAGGATAGGGTTCAGGCACCACGTTTGTGACAGTATCTAGTATCTTTAAAGGATCAATCACCTTACTCAGCTCTGCTGACTAAGCCTAAGATCCCAATAGTGTTCAACAGGTCTTTTCTTTTACTCCAGACTTTTCATTCTGGATAGAGTAGAGAGGGTTTAGAACACCTGTCAGATTTTTATTATTGTCTGTGCCCCCATTAGAAAAAGTTCACCCTATTTGTCCTATTTACTGAAAGTGAAAGAAAATCACACATTCTTGGTTGTCACCAGAACAGGAATAGAGTGAAAATCTATCAATGCCAACATTTCTGGTGACTCTGGTGACAACCAAGGATTCTTTCACTTTGGAGGTATTTTGTTTCACTTTCTGTTTTGGCTATAGGAAAAAAAAATGAATTGAACTCTCCCCAATGGGACACAGATGGAAAGAAAAATCTGTCAGGGGTAAAACCTCTCCCTTATTCTATCCAAAATAAAAAGGTTTTGCCTTCAGTTTACTTTATTGGAAAACTCTGCTCACAGAAATTCCAAGACAGCTTTGATGCCCATTTGGGCCATTGACTTTCAGAGAATATGCAAGCCCTAGCACAATTCCTAACTTTGATTCAGAGCCTCATTCTAATAGACTGTATTTTACCAGGTTCATAATGCACCCAGTCAGGGGCGGACTAACAACTCATGGGGCCCCCAGGCAATAGGGGATCATGGGGCCCCTGTGTCCTTGCCCAAACTCAAAAAAAGCCTACGAAAAAGGTACCAGGGGCATCTCATGGGGGCCCCTACTGACCCCGGGCCCTCGGGCAGTGCTCGAGTTTCCAAATGGTCAGTCCGCCCCTGCACCCAGTTATTCCTAGTATATCTCATGCAGTACACTTTGCATTTAGAGGGTCAACCAGCTGTAACAGGTATCAGGACCTGGATATGAACCCAGGACTCTGTCAACAGCTGTTCTTAGTGATCCACCTGAGATGCTAGACAGCTCCCTGCCTGGACAAACGTACTTTCTATCTTGCTTCTGGCAAACCTTCAACTCCTTGCTCCTCCCTTGATTTTCCTATTTAGGCCATGCCTTTTCATTTCCTGTTTACCAGCTTATTGTGCTCTTCTCCAGCCAATATCTTGCTCCTTGTACTATGTTCATAGACCCTGTGCCTTAGGTGAGCCTGCATTGCCTGCCAGGGAAATCTGCTGTGTATTTATCCTGCTGGTTTCTGTGTGAGCCTTTCCACTTCTATAGCCTCTGACCTCCAAGCCTGACCCCTGATCCTGACACCAAGTGAAGGGTCTTTAGCAGCCTATGCCAACACAAAGACCTTCTCTATATTCATTTTGAAAAACTGGGAATTTCCATTACAATCATGGCTTCTTCCTAATAACATGCAAAGTCATTTTCATTTTATTAGGGAATTCAAATTATCCCTTCTCTTTTTGGACCTTTTGGTTCTTCAAGTTCATAAATATCTTATTCCACTGGTTGATGTTTACTGTACTTTTACAGACTTCACTGATAACCAGTAGGACTCCCTATTTAAATTTCAGTTTGAATGAACTTGAACTGCTTTCTGTCCTCTGCTGGTAGTTTCTTTACTTTGTGACATTATGTCTTTAAAGGGGAGTTCCCTAATTTAAAGCAAGACACTTTCAACTTTTCGAACAGTTGTATGAAGCTATCCACTTCAGTTATGATGGCCTCTTACAGGTGTCTTAGTTGGTGTTGCACATGGCAGAAATTGTGTACCCCAGTATACTTAATCCTGCATTATTTAGTTATTTAATTTTGTCCTACCAATTTTCCTGCAGCCTGTCTTGGGGTAGGTTTCCACAGTGACCTATCAAGGTAAAATAGCTACCAGTTTCCCTGTATATGAAACTTATTGAGTTTGCTGGAGATTTCAGAAATTGGCTATAGTACTGACTATTCTCTCCACACTAGGTGCTAATTGTCTTTCTTGCTTCCTCATCATGGAATGCTTAACCCTTTGAGGACCAAGGGACGTATTTGTCCCGCGTTCCAAAATCTTACGGTCCTCAAAGGATTAATAGATCCTCACTAAAACTTGTCAGTTTTTTAGATTGTGACATTTTTTACTATAGTGAATATTATCTCCTTTCTACTCTTTCAGCATAGATGGCAATTTTTCCTTTTTGAGATTTCTGGATTCTTTGAGATTCCATTTACATTCTTTCCTCCATATTATTCTGCTTCTCATTTTTAGTTTTTTGAGTTACATATTCTGGACTTGGAATAGTGTGCAAAAAGAGAACTGGAGCTAACAGATTCCCCCTCACTTCCTTAATTTGGCAAACTATTTTCCTGATTTTTTTGGCCTGTTTTTAAGGAACAGTCTGCTTCCAAAAATTTAATGGAATTTTTCTCTGTGTCAGTTTTTTGTGCTAACTCCCACTTCACTTCTATAATACATGCTATATCCTTTTGTATGAAGGTAATTTCATTCAACTCCTGATCTGACAGATGTCTGCCTACTTACACTGAACTGGCAATTTGTCATGGTGTTCACACTATTTCTAAACTCTTATATCTTAGCTCCCTTACTCGCCCCCTTTTTTTTTTCCTTTTCTTTTCCAAGATTTTCTCTCCTTTTCACTTTCCTTCTTTTTTAAGTTCTAATAGGGGGATGATTCCTCTATGGGATATTTTTTTTCATCACTTTTGTAGCATTGTATTGAGAATACAAGCTACATCACTATAATTTACAACAGATCAGCAAAGAAATATCTATATAATATTGTTTGAGTAGCCTAGCAACTACAGACTTTTCACCTGCAAACGCAACCATATGTTTGTGGAGTTTGTTAGCTCATGTTCATGATATATGATACAAAAATATTATGTATTATGCATCCAAATTGGAAGATCCTTCCCGTCTTTATGCATTCTAAGGTCCCTGTATGACTATTACATTACCATATACTTTCGCATAACTTATATTTCCACCCCTTAAAAAGGAACTTGGTACTTTACCCTTCTTTGTCTCCTTCCATCGCTCACCCAGCTTATCATTGAGAAGACTGTTTTATTATGATTTTCCATTTTGGGACATTCTTTGTCCAACATTTCTTTTCCTGAGATCTAGAGTTAGGTATTTAAGGATTTGGCTTTACCTTACAAACATTCTTGCTTTGTTGACCACTTTAACTGTTATTCTTAACTTAAATGTTTGGATTTCCTTGACATTCTTGCTAAGCTCCATCATTTTTTCAGATAGCATCCTCCTTTAATGGTGGGGACTAATCTGCTCTGGAACACCAGACTCTATCTTGGTGCCTATTCTATTAGTAACAATTTTATATTAATGTCTCATTTTTTTTTTTTTAAATCTAGCCTTGTTGAGATAGTTTCTATAGTCTTCTACTAAAATTCCACATCCATTGGATTTCTCAATGGCTGCTGCCCACCCATCAGTTTGATTGCGTCATGGATGCCCCATCCATATCCAAGAATTGCTACATTACTGTGTCCCTAGATGGATAATAAAAAAAATAAGATTTTTCTATTTACCCTAAAATCTTATTTTGAAGTTCATTGAGGGACTGCCGCCCTGTGCTGCTGGCCTTATGTACTGCTTACTCTCAAAATTGGGTTATACAGGTACTGGCTTAACGTTGTTTTCTGTTTGCCAGCATCCACACCTCCTAAAGACAGCAATGTAACTCATATGTCTAAAAACTGCTACATTTCTGGAACCATCAATGGATTTCAAGAAAAAGATTGTACCATAAGTACAAAAATATTTAGCCATCATAGGAAATTTTGGGGAAGAACAGGCAGCCTTTGGCCATTGCATTAAACACCTACATTTTGCTACTGCCTGACCTTCATCCTGGCTGTAGACTTTCCCCCTCCCCCTCCTGCCTGCCCCATACACTGGGGAAGGGTGGATAGTCTTTTTTTTAAATAATCTCTTCCTTAGTGCATGCACCACATTCTTCCTCATTAGCACCAGCACCCCAAACTTCATCCTCCTATGAAGGGATTAGCAAAAGAGGAGGAAAAGGTTGTATCAGCAGTCCTCAAAAAATATCTGGTATCAGGGCTGGGGTGGGGGGGGGTCAAAGGCAGGTGCCCTTGGTGCAGTATTGTCATGTTGGGGGAGAACTCACAGATCCTGTGTGGGTCTCACGCTGATAAAGTTCAAGTGGTATGGTATACAGAATGAGGGGATGCAGACTACATGGTATAAATAACAAGGAGGTGTAAAATAGGGAATGATCAGTATGGCATATGGAATGGGGGATGGAAACAGGGACCATCCATCATGGTATAAAGAACTGGGTGGTAGGGAAAGAGAACATACAGCATGGTATATAGATTGAGGCATTTCAGAATATGGAACATAAAGTACAACATATGATAGGGTTAGTGAAGTATAAGTATAAGTATACAGCCTGGCACACAGAATGAGGCTTTGCAGCATAAGGAGTATACAGCATGACATATGAAATAAGGGGTCACAGAAAAGTGAACAGACAGCATGGCATACAGATTGAGGCTTGGAGGCATAGGAAATGTACATAAGCATTGCATACGGAATGAAAGTATGCAGAATAGGGAATGTACGGTACAGCATAAGGAATGAGGAGTGCGGATTAGGGAATGTACAGCATGGCATATGAAATAAAACATTGTGATAAAGTGAAAGCATATCAGAGTGAGACAATGGAGAATAGTTACAAAGCACCTTAAAAATGGCTTACTTCTACAGCTTAGGCTGTCCTCATCTAGATCTTTGGTTTTGCAGGAAAAGGAGAGGAGATATGTTCTTCTAAGGATTATGGGACTGTTCCATATCAATCTAAAAGAGAAATTGGTCAGATTTTCTTCTGTGCATTTTTATAAAAAAAAATCAGAATCATGTATTTCAGCCAATATAAAAGTAAGCAAATCAATTAAACTTGCAAAATATGCAATGCCAGTATCAGGGGCGGACTGACAACTCATGGGGCCCCGGGCAATAGGGGATCATGGGGCCCCTGTGTCCTTGCCCAAACTCAAAAAAGCCTATGAAAAAGGTACCAGGGGCATCTCATGGGGCCCCCTACTGACCCCGGGCCCTCGACCAGTGCCCGAGTTTCCAAATGGTCAGTCCGCCCCTGGCCAGTATATGATGGACATCTCCCAAGCAAGCAATATAAAGGATCATACTTCCTTCGCTGTCATTCTCAAAGTCATATAAAAAGAATGAACCTCTCCCTCTTTATGGTATTTAAAAAAGAAAAAGTTTTGCACATGTCCCACATAACAATGCCCAGCTTCCCATGGCCTTTGCTTGACAATCATTTGCATACTAGACATAATGGCCAGAGCTGAATTTCAAAATTTGTCCCCATAGGCTTCAATAAAGTTCAGTTTGAAGTTCACAATTTTTAGACTTTAGGATGGGTTTGGTGAACAGCCTGCAAACAGAACTCAGACCGATTTGCTCAATCCTATTGCAAATTTGTAATATGGCTAAGCAGTATGTTAATATATATATTTTCATTACATCTTTTCTCTTTTTAAATAGACATTTAAGATTTGCACCAAAAACCTTTGGTAAGAAAACCTCTGCTGTAAAAAACAATATCTCAGTAAAGGTCCTGTCTCACTCCGGAGACATGACTTTTTGGGTCATGTTTATAATGCAGCAGTTGTGATCTTCTCCAGTCACTTCATGTAATTTAAAACACACAAGCAAGAAAAATTAACCTGCAGTGAATGTGTGTTGAATGAGAAATTCACTGCTTTACATACACCTTGCATCTGTTACGGCACCGTGATAAACATTTGTATATGTTTTGCTGCAGCATAGTCACCCTGGCTCTGGAAGGGCTTATGAAAAGGAAGTTGGAGAGGAGCTGGAAGTGATATGAGTCTGATGATTACTGCAACTGTGGGAGTTTGGAGACATGTCAGGCAAGAAACCTCTGCTGCTGACAAGGCTCCGTGGTATCTCTGTGGCCTGCAATTTACTTCTTTGGAGTGTCATGTACTGACATAATCCCATTTATGCCCAAATATGGAAAGGCTTCTTCACAGTAAGAGCTGAGAAAATGTGGAATAGGTTCCTTCAAAATCTGGTTCTGGCAACCTCATTAGATTGTTTTAAGAAAGGCCTGGATTCTTTCTTTTTTCCCCCTGCTGGAGCAAATTGGATCATGCTTTATTGGGTTTTTTTCCTTCCTCTTGATCAGCTGTAGGTACGGGATAGTGCATGTGTGTGTGTTCTTTTCCTCTATTGGTTGAACTGGATGGACTTGTGTCATTTCAACCAGATTAACTATGTAACTTTTTAACTATTTCTTTGCTTTTGAATAAATGCTGTTTTGTTTAAGAAGCCTGTGCCATGTGAGCCCACTGACCCCAAAGATCACACCTCATTAGATGTTCCCCCAGAGCAAAGCCAAGTTGCTCACAGACAGAAATGGGTATATTGGGTATACTTTGGTTAATTTTTTTCTTAACCACTGTCCAAGTTTGGAATGGTTGAAAAAGGTTGAATTGCTGCTGCTTTCATACTTGACATGACTGTAGCCTTAGTATAGGTAAAACGAAGGTATGAATCCACCACAGCCAGTAATATCAATAAGGAATACTTCTTGTAGTTGAAATATTTGCTTCCACCACAGGTTGCCCTCAGCATACTGATATGTTTCATGCCCAACGAAAGACAGATAAAAGCCTGGAAATGTAGCTTGTGTTGGAAACATTATTCATTTGAACTCTGAACTTTTAATAAATTATATTTAGATGATGCAGCCTTGGACTTTGTTTCTATATATTCTGGACTGGATGTGCACAAACATGTCAACTTCACAAATATATTGGGGATACATCTACATTGAGGAATGTCAGAGCTCAGAAATGGATTATGAAGTAGAAGCTTCACACCACAATCCCCAGGTTAAATGATACACAGGCTGTGTCCTCCTGAATTCTGATATAAGGTCCAAAATTGCTCTTTCCTTTCCCATTCAATCAACAAAGAAAGAACCCAAAAACAATGGACCCTCCCGGTGCATAAGAATGGAGTTTGGAGGCTCCTGATTTACATTAGAGAGGAAAGAGACTGATGAGGGCTACCTCATATTATGAACAAAAGATTCCCAAACTGGTAACAGGTATTTGGCTGAGAAGATACATTCTTGATTGAATGTACAATGACAGAAAGCGGTGTTAATAAATATATAACTTAGGTAAGCAGGGGGAAAAAACAAATATAGGCAGGGGCAAGAAGGTAGTTTTAATTTGCCTTTGTAATCTTGGGGCCACAGAAGCTGTTTCACTTGCCTTACCTTCTGCATTTTAAATGTTTATTTCATAGTTGCTTGCAACTTTTTAATAATACCTTTTTTGATCACTCTAAGGTTTGTGCCATACTGACATACAGTATTACTCCACAGTTCCTTTAAAGTGTGGTATATGTCATGATCTCAGCAGTTTGCATAGTGATGCACCATTGAGCAATTATCCGGTGCAAAAAAGGTTTCATTGCTCAGAGCACTCGGCAGCTCAATTGGTTGACACAACTAATATGAATTGATTTTATAATAGTACCTTTTTTCATTTAAGTTCATTTTATTGTGGCAGAATTGTTGGACTATCGACCAGTAAGTGGTAATGGTTCAGAACAAGAACATCTATCTAGATCCTGAATAACAATTATTATGCTTTAGAGCAAATGGCTACATACAATTCTGAGACTTACAAAAATATTAATTTAACTTATACCAACCATGTTTTATGTTGTTTTAGACTTAAATAACATGCTTGTTTTGAAAAGTACAAGTTAATTCATCAGATGAATCATTATAAACTGTACATTCTGGAGGTACTTGTTCAAAGGAAGGCAACAACAGCCTCAAAAGCGATTTTCTGGTTGAAGACACAAGAGTGTGAAGCAAATGAATTAATATATATATATTAAATTAATGTACTTTAATTGGTAAAATCTGTGAAGAACCTCCTTCTTTAGGGGACATACAAACAAAACTCCTGATCTGTGTTATGCTTATAGTAATGTGCAAGTCTGCCCAATGCATAGTACAATATCTAGATATCACCCATAAAGAATAGTTCTTATCAAATAAACTGTCTCCTAAGCTGGCCATACACTATATAATTCTTTAGCTCTACAATCACACAACCAACATGATTTGGTACAAATTGAATAGCTTGTGTAGGTTCATCCTTATATTACACAGCTTTTCTAACGCTAAAGAGTATTGTATTTAGATTGTATTGTGTATGGCCAGCTTACAAGGGTTGTGGTACTTATTGAGCCTCTTTGCAGTTAAAAGATAAATATGTCTGTTTTTTTACATTGTTGTCACTAAATGTTCCTCCTGGTTTGTGTGTCCATTGGCTTCTGTGAATGGGGAAGTTGGATATGGAACATCATGGATTTTGGAGCATTGAGAGACCATCATAGGAGATTGGAGAGCTGCTAGGGAACAGAGATCAAATTCACTTTTGCTGCAGTAATTGATGTTGTCTTTCACAGAACATATTAGTCAGTGAGTAATCAGGGTGACTTTTTATAGCTTTAGAGCATCTGATACTGCCAGATGGAAGACATCACTTGGAACAGTCCCTGTTCCATCCAGATCTGCCTCAAGGTTAAAGACAAAAAAAAATAGTTCTCAGGTGTGCAGTCAATTCTATATCTAGTTTTTACATATTTTGTTTATTTCATAGACATTGCAATATGACAGTTCTGCTACCAATGCATTGCTTTAAAAAAGCAAGAATAAACATGGATTTGTCTTTATCTTCTCAAAATAAGACTGGCAAGTATAAAGAATGAAGGAAGTTTTTGAGAAAAAAGTGCAGTGCATTAACTGCCACATATACTATGAATCAGCTGAAGAGAACAACCCTACTATAATAAATGCATTTATTGCATATATATAGTTAAGTTGTGCTCTTGTATGGCAATTACTCAAATCAGCAACAGGTTCCTTTACTGCTCCTACTTACTGCACCTACTGCCCATTCATCTGAAGAGTATACAGTGTATTGGTTAGTGCTGACAATAAAATTATTTTAATACTCTGGTTGTTTTAGGTTTTTCTAGCTATGTTCATTTTTAGTTAATGTTATGTAGAAGTGTAATTATTATAATATGGCATGCATCGGCATAAATGTGTTCTTATTGTCATATTTCTGTTACCTCCCAAGCTACATCTTTTCTGTGGGGATGGAACTTAGCTCAAATGTGAGAACCACTGCTGCAACCCCAATTCAAAGTTAGCAGAACATTTCTGATACTCTCTATGCATATTCTGTGGGCAGAACAATAATTGAATGCCATAAAGTGTTTATTCATATTACCAGGGAGCTTAAACAGGGTGACCATACCTCAAAAGCATTCAGGTGAGAAACCGGAGTATAAATTGTGTAAAGGGATAGATGGAAGTGAAGTCATGTCAAGATAAGGGTCATTACCAGATGTTCCATGTACTGTGCATCTAAGCAAAAGGTATAACATGATTAGTTAGGAGTGTAAGGCAAATGTCAGGGCTAGTGAAATTCAGATGTAGTCAAGCAGACAAGACCACAGAGGAGCCAGAAGATTAATGCTACTGGACCAATAACTAACACTCAGACGACCTTCTGACAGAAGACCACACGTCAAATGAGGCCACCCTGGGGGAAAATGTCAGACGATCATTTGGATAAATGTGCAACTGGTTCGTTCCTAACATCATTTTCATTGTAGAGCTGTAACTATGATAAAAACTATGTAAACTCTAACAATGAATGTCTCTTATTTATTTTCTTTTGTTCCATTAAATATACCACTGAAATAGGGATCACAGAACAATACCGCCTGGGGAATGTCATGTAGCGGCAATAGTATAAAATGTTTGTTTTTTACATTTCACTTTTTCTGCAATACATCCTACAGGTGTGCCACTTTATGTGCAGGTTTAAGACATCCACCAAGCATGTTATTTGCCATTTAGCTGCCATGAACGTGACAGCAGGAGGTTTTACACACATTCGGAGTATGTGTATATCTGACAAGCAGACTGCCAGATGGAAGCAATTTGGTGGCTATGCAGCCCCTGGAATGCTTCCAAACACCCCTGGTAATGGCCACCCCCAGGTAATGGCCCACCCAGGACCTGCATAGCGGATACCACTGTGTAGAGAGGAGGGAGCAGAGAAAACATCCATCTACTTTCCTCCCTTTTTCTTGCAAACGAAGCAATGTGCCCAATGTCATTTCTAGGTTCCCCTTTAACTTTCCCCAGGCTGTGTGGCAAGACAGGAAGCTGATGGAAAGTGATTTGTATTCACTGCTTCATTGGAGGACAGGTGAGACA